GGGCGGCCGTTACCGCGCGGGCGGCCGTTACCGTGCGGGCGGCTGGCGCGGCGGTTGGGCGGCGGTTGCTACGGGCCGCGCCGCTCGCGCCCTTTGTCGCTGCGGGTGGCGGGCCGAGTCCCCGCCACAATAACCATCCCCCGGTGCCGCGGGCATAGACTCCGGCTAGAGCGGCCGCCGGAAGTCTGCGCGGAGGAGGAGGAGGAGGAAGGGGGGGGGGCTGCGCTAGGCGCGCATTTCCGCCCGGGCCGGGGGCGGGGCCGCGCCGCTAACGGCGGTTAAGGGGCCGTTAACGGCCGGCTACCGGTTGGCGTGCGGCGCAGCAACTGCCGCGTTAGGTGGCTGCGCGGCGCTGCAGTGGGGTTCGCACCGGGGTAGCCTCTCGCAAAGGCGCTTTATCTATCTATCTATTTATTTATTTTTAATAAAAAGTTTTTGTTCTCCCTTCTTTCTCTCGCCGTTGAAAGCAGYGCAGTTTAGCAGCTGAGCGCTAAGCCGCAGTTGAACCCCGCGGTGTGCCAAGGGGCTGCGGAGCCCCAGCGAAATGAAGCACTGAGCAAGAGGCCGAGCCCTCCCGAGAGGAGCGCGGCCCTCAGCGCGTGACAGCGCTTTTAATGTAAACACGAGTGTAAAACGCTTTGAAGTGTGCAAAACACGCGGGGTGTGTGTAACGTGGGCATGAGGAGAGGCGGGAGGGGACACGGGGCCGCCGGGAGGGTGRCTGGGGTGACATCTGTCCTCCAGACCTGGTGTCCCCTCAGCTGCCAGAGCCAGAAACGCTCCTTTTGGCCACATSCAGGTTTTCTCGTGGATGAGCAGCTGGCTGTGCTGGGGCCCCGGTCGCATGGACACGGGTGCGCCCAGGGCAGCTGGGGACCCGGCACCTGGAATGAGAGTAAAATGAAGGTGTCAGGTCAGCGGCAGGTTTATGAGGACACGCTGTGTGTCATGTGAAAGGCTTGTGTGGCCCTGTGGAGCGAGGTGTTGGCCTGGCAGCTCCGTGAAACTGAGGTTCTCCAGCCATGTGTGCTCTCTGTGCGTGAAGAGGTGGCAGAGCAGCTCTAACTAGAGAGCACAGAATGAAGCCTGGGTTTGAAGGCTCTGTCTTTAGAGATGGAGTGTTTTCTTCTACATTAAATATAATCATTGAAATCCGTTAGTGAGCTCAAGCATCAAGAATAATTGTTTTGTGTTCCCGCTTCCGATCGCCTCAGAGCGCATGAGTGGCAGTTTTGCTGTTTAAAGCGGGTTTCACTTCTCCCTTGGCAGGCTGAGCTCACGCCGCTGTGCWGCGGGGCTGCCACCCCGTGGCTGAGTAGGGAACTGTTTGAGCCAGGTGAAGATGCTGAAACGAGCTGAGCTTTAACTGCGAATTTTAAAGCAATTGTTGCCACAGTTCAGCAACCTGGCCCAGGATCTCCAGCGATTTTATGGAAGGTATTAAGACTGTTTTGGTTCTTTATGATCTGCAGCCTAAAGGATCCTGAGGCATTTACACTGCTACTGCAGGGCAGATTGTTATAATGTCTTCTCCTTGGCAGTATTTTTGGGATCCTATATGGCTGTGGCACAAGACGCACTGACTTGACTTTTCTTCTCAAGAGGAAAGCTTATTTTTTTCTGAGTAGTGTAGGCCAGCTATGAAGAAAAACTCTGTAAGCTCTCAATTTCCTTGGGGTCTCACTAGGCTGCTCTTTTTAGCATAATCATAAATGYATACGTAAATCATCACACAAATATACATCCTTTGTACATCTCCACAATGATGCTCCCTTAGTCTCTTACTTTCTTTTCTTTCAGGAAATACTTTTTCTCTAGATGATGATCCAGAGAAATGCATAGTTATCACTGGACATTAGAAAAATATTATTTAAATGATGAAGAAGTGAGCCCTGACGTTTCAAGCTTTCGGCTGCTTTGCCTGCTGACGTTGCCTTTTTTGGACTAGGACGTGCTTTCAAGATTGCATCTCCAACTGTATATCTGCAAATATGCATACACATGCAAATAATTATCACATTAAAATGGCATGCAAATGGGGTTATTGGACAGCTATCTAATTTTGCACGGAAATTGTGCACATGATTTTATTTCACGCCTGTACAGTTACAAAGGTCATTAACTTTAGATWTTGAAAGTACTACCAAGCTCTGCAAGAGTAATCACAGGCTCTGTCACCATTGCCCAACTGAATTTGCATTCTCCCRATCTCCATCCTTCCTTGCAACTCTCAAGCTGACTTTGTCCCTGGCTTGTTATGTGTTTTTTGAACCATTTCATCCTTTGCTGCTCAATCCACTATTTGGAAAATAAGGAGGAGATGAGGGGAGGAATAGATTTTTAATTCACAATTCCAGCAATAAGGGTGACTGAAGTTTCATGATGTAGCTATTTAGATCTACTAATAGACTTGTATCC